TAGAACCCTTTGAGGACGGTTTAGGGGTTCAGGGTTTTAGAGTTTTCGGGATTTAGTGTTCTCGGGTTTAGGGATTAGGGTGTGGGGTTTAGGCTACCCCTGTCCAATGATCCTAAACCCTAAACCCTATACCCTAAACCCTAAACCCTAAGCCCTAAACCCTAAACCCTAAACCCGAAGCCCTTCAAGTGGAAAGCGCTGAGGTTGGCATTTACTTTGCCGGTCTCCCAGCACCTGCGGTTGGCTGCGAAGGGCGGGGGTGCAAAATTCAATCGTTAGAGGTTAAGGGTTTGATGGGTTTATGGGTTTAAGGATTTAGGGGTTTAGGGTTTAGGGTTTAGGGTTGAAAAAAAGTATCAAAGGTGTTTTGAGCACGGTTTCTAAGGGGTTTGCATGGATTTTTGGGCCTCGGGGTTGTTCAGGGGCCCATTGGCGCGACCCCCAAATCTTGCGACCTTCAGCCTGGATCCTAATTCCCGAAACATCAGGCCTCGGTTTAGGGTTTAGGGTTTAGGGTTTAGGGTTTAGGGTTTAGGGAATACGAAATCTTCAAAACACATCAAGAAGCCCTTGTCAACCCCCAGACCTATACAAAGGCAACCGTCTAAACACCAGACCGCAAAACCCCACTGAATCCTTATCGAACCCTTATAGAACCCGTATCAAACCTGTACAGAGACTTATTGTGGAACCCTTCGACGACTAGGTACCGATTCGGGAAAATTCTGATTTCGCTTTTTGTCAAATTTGGAAACCGTAGCTGTAATTGGTTTTGGGTGCTGTTGAAATCGACACCTAGGGTTTAGGGTTTAGGGTTTAGGTAGAACCCCCTATACCCTACTTGGAGGATCAGGGGACTTAGTACGTAAGGTTATAAGCACTTCATTCGGTGTTAAGTCAGTGTAAGTATAGTGACTTTGTTTGTAACCCGAGTTGCTATAAGTCCCATGATCCTTGAAGTAAACCCTAAACTCTAAACTCATAAACCCCCAAACCCCGGAACGCCTCAACCAAAAAACGGTTCGAAGCTTGAACAAGCTCCAAACGCTCACTTAAATGATCATGGGACTTCATAACTATGGTATAATTTGCTTATAGCCTCAAGTAAGGTATTTGTAACCTTACATTACAAAGTCCCCTGATCCTCCAAGTATAGACCTGCTCCCTAAACTCTGAAACCCTCAGACCCTAAACCCTAACACCCCTAAACCCTAAACCTTAAAACCCCTAGACCCTAAACCCCTAAACCTAAGCCCTAGATGCGCGAAATTGGATCGAGGCGACGCGCCCACTGGAGTGTGAGATCGCTCTCTGCTCCCAAGTGATCGTGCCGGGGACCCTTTTGGGTTTCAGGTTGAAGGGTTTAGGGTTTAGGGTTTAGGGTTTTTTGGGTTTAGGGTTTAGGGTTTAGGGTTTAGGCTTCAGGGGTTTTGCGTTTAGGGTTTTTTGGGTTTAGGGCTTCGGGTTTAGGGTTCGGGGTTTAGGATTTAGGGTTTAGGGTTTGCAGGGCTTTTCAGCACTTCATTTGGCTTTACAGTGCTTGTTACACCTGTTTGAAGGGGGTTTTTGGGGTGTTAGGGGGCTATAAGGATCTGAACGTGTGTTATCAACAGAGGCGCTTATGAGCCCGTGTTTGACCATGTTCGTTGTGTTTAGGGTTTGGGTCTAGGGCACTCTCAACATGGAGGATTTAACCCTAAACCCTAAACCCTAAACCCACCTCCCAAGGGCTTGAGCAAGCATGCCACAGGGCTAGCAACCCGCATGGAGGTACAGCTCCCGAGCTCGATAGCTGCACGGTTGGCTTCTGAAGGTTCAGGGTTTATGGGGTTTAGGGTTTTGGGGCTTGGGGTTTGGGTTTTAGGGTTAGGGTTCAGGGTTTAGGGTTTAGGGCTCAGGGTTTAGGGTTCAGGGTTCAGGGTTCTGCATTTAGGGTTTTGGGTTTAGGGTTGAGATTATTTCCCAGCCCTAAACCCTAATTGAGGCGCTTGTGGCATCGGGGCGCTTGGAACTGAAGGAAAAGGCTCCTGACAATGGGCCCTGACACTTTTTAGCCCAAGGACATCGTAGAGATATTTCGAAACACCCTGAGCCAGTGTTGCTGCCTGCCTGCCTGTAATTTGAAGAGTTTAGGGTTTAAGGTTTAGGATTTAGGGTTTAGTTTAGGGTCTAGGGTTTAGGGTTTAGGGTGTAGGGTTTAGGGTTTATAGGGTTCAGGGTTTAGGGTTTAGGTTTAGGGCTAGGGACTTAGAACCTATCTGTTGAGTACAAGGGTCTGCACAATCAGCATAAATGGCCTCTTCTAGTCGCTACAGTTAAAATATGCGACAGTTCAAGCATGGAGGGCCCTATATTGGGGCGTAGTTTCCTTAGTGATAGTAGAGTAGGTAACCTTAGCGTTAACCTGTGTGGGGTACTATAATCGCTGCATAACCCCAATATACTCGCGAAGGTCAACCTCTAGTTCCCCAATATACTTGACAAGTAGGTTTCTAAACCATAAAACCCTGAACCCTGAACCTTTCTAAACCTTTCTAAACCTTTCTAAACCTTTCTAAACCCTTCTAAACCGTTCTAAACCCTTCGAAACCTTCTAAACCCTTCTAAACCCTTCTAAACCCTAAACCCTCCCATGTTGGTTTCTAAAGCCTAAATCCCCAAAACCCCAAATCGTCTCGAAACCCTAAATCCGACGTGAACCCTAAACCCTGCTTTGCCCTCAGAGGCCGGATGGTGCCCGCGCGTGCACGGAGGCTCGATGTGGCAGCCCGGTCCTCAACGAGTAGTTCTCTATGTCAGGGTCCCCGTTCGGGTCCTTTTTGCAAGGCTGCCGACTACTTTGGGAGGCCTCATAAGGGACATTACTGTAGAGAAGTACCCAATTTTCAGTCAGGTTTTCTCTGCCGAGGCTTTATAATGCTTAGGATTTCAGCTGAATGCTAGTGCTGCTGGCGCCTCGGGAACTCCCACATGGGCACATATTTAGAATAGTCGGTACTGTAATGCTCGGATGTATGGCACGAACTTCGCAGCTTGGCGAGCACAACTTACGTCAACCTCACTTTATTCAGGATTCTATCGGATTTGAATATCCTGCACCATTCGAGTGTATTACGCCTCTCCCACCGCAAACGCTAAGCTCTGAACGCTCAATATCCCTACATAGCGGGCCCCCAAAAAGACTTTTAAGCCGCAGCAAAACATTCTTGGATTCTTGGATCTCTATCCACTCCATTGGATGATTCTCGCAGGGCTCCAGGACAGCTCCTACAGTAGCCTTCGAAGCAACAAATCCTACGGGTTTGGAGTTTCGCTGGGGACGCAACGTCCTACTGCGTTGAGGGTTATGCAGCTATGCTGATATGATATAGGGGCCTGAATAATGACCAGTACTACTTTGAGGCTCCTTACTAAAATCTTAGGAGAATAATCCCCCAAACCCTGCTCTGATTATTAAGGATCCTACATTGCCCTTGGGTCCCGAAGACCGAACCTCCAAGCACTGAAGCCCATACCATTCTTGGATCATAACCTACTACTCGTAGGGTTTGAGGGCCAGCACCGACGATAAGCACTGAGTGGTACTAGTAAGGACAGTTGTTTAACTTGAAGCAAGGAGGCTAGCAAAGTAAACCTGGAACCCCAAACCCAAAACCAGGTTGTGGGCGTAGAGTCTGTCTGAATTCTCACCCCTGAGTATGCATGTATGTATGTATGCATGCATGCATGTGTGAATGTATGAGTGTGTGTGTATATATATATATATATATGTGCTACGGGGTGTGCCTCCCGCCATGGCAGAAAAGCTGGTAGAGGAACCAGAGCCGCGGTCATGCAGGCGATGTTTGTTGGGACGCACCTGCCACCACTCGCATGACAGGGCCGCTCCAAACTGCGTGCTGGCCCATAGCACAGCAGTCAGTCACTTTCTACGTCAAACGGCAGAAGCAGAAAGAAGTACTGGGGTTCTGCGTCAAACAGCAGAAGCAGAAAGAAGTACCGGGAAAACTTTGGATCGCCCGTCCGCCATCAAGCGGAAACGCTTGCCTTCAGCGGCCGCCACCGAGGAGCCGGAAAGCCAAAGGCAGCCGGGCGACAGACTCTTAAGACGAGGGGTTGCTTTTGGTGTTGCTGATTTCAGGTTTTGGGGTTTAGTTAGGGTTTAGGGTTTCAGATTTTTGGGGTTGTTGGGTTTAGTCATAGAAGTCAACACTCCCCCCCCCAACACCACCCCCCCCCCCCAAGATAAGATAATGATCTCTGTAGAAGCAAGAAATAAGGCTTAAATAAAGCTTATTTAAGGCTTATTTGGGAGCCCGCCAAATAAGTCTTATTTAAAGCTTATTTACAGCTTATTTCTCAGGCCCCAAAATAAGCTTTATTTAAGGCTTATTTGGACGTTTATACAGATGCCAACTTCCCTCCACAAATAAGCCCAAAATAGCAATTATGCGGACCTGTTCTCAAAGTATTCTCAGAGATTCGAAACTAAATTCTATGCCCCCGGGAGCCTTCCGAGTACTGTTCCGAATCCGAAACTTTAGCTGGTTCCTTCCCTTGAAGACATAACCCCGCTTGACAAAGAAGCATCATTGCATTGCGATCCTGCTCGCCTGGGTCCGTAAATTTTAAGCCGGCGATCCCGACCAAAGTTTAAGCTTAGACTAACAGAATCCGGTTTCGGGTTGGGCAGCTGACTTCACGGCTTACGGGTTTGCGGGGTTTGAAGGACCCTAAGGAACTCAGATTTATTTAAGGGTTTACGGGTTTTAGGAGGTTGAACCCACTTTGTTTTTTTCCCGGCACTCAGCAACGGTTCGCGAAGTCCACCAGTCGCTCTCGTGAAGGCCTGGGCAGCGGGCCCTAAACCCTTACTAAACCCTGAACCCTAAACCCGCTAAACCCTAAACCGTGGAACCAAGCATTGGAATGGCTAATCTTTTGCCGAGAAACATAGTTTGCTGATCACGGGGGTGCAGTCGATTGTAACGGTCGTACACGAACTTGATCACTGTTTCGAGGGCGTCTGCTTTTGTCGGGCACCTGGCGGTGCCGTATTTCCTTTGACAGCTCTGGTACGTGTTTGCTGGATCCTCGCCAGCACCTGAAAGCATCAACGCAGGACAGAATAGTTTGGCGATGTTTGTGAACAGGAACAGGAATACTAACAAATGCCCGGGCACGCACTGGATAGAATGTTTTGAAGAACTCATTCACAGGGTGGTACTGTGCATAGAACGTGCCTGTGATCGCCCCCCCGCCCGGCAACAGCTCCTTCAACCAGCTCGGTGTCAAATTCCATTGTCGCTCCACTTCCGCCTTGTGCGCAGCTTTCTCGCCAGCCTCATGCTCCCGATGAGCTTGCTCCTTTTTTTCTTTCTCTTGCGCAGCCTTCTTGGCAGCGGCCTCTGTTTTTTCTTCTGCAGTACCCGTGACAGCTGTTTTTGCATCCTGCTTGCATCCCTTGGCCTGCAAGAGGTGATCGAGGCTCTCGCATGCAGCTTGGATTTGTTTTTTGAACGCCTGCTTGTTGTCGGCATCGAGCTCGGCAACGTGGTCCAGGATCTCCACGTCGGTGGAGCGAATTGTTTTGCCGCCGCAAATCCCCTTCAGCATCACCTGTTGCTCCTCCTCGCTGGAGTCTGCAAAGTAATGCTCCACCAGGGCCCGCGCCCAATCGATCTTGACCGGACCTCCTTTTTCTCCTGAACTGTCCATAAAACTAGGCTTCAGGGCTTCAAGGTTGTTAACTTCTGAGGAGAACAACACGTATTATTTGATATCCAGGGGTTCCAAAGCTAGTTTTGGTGGACAACTGGTTTTTAACTTGCCTGTCCTTTTTTTCCGCTTCTCGTGGTCGGGGTGATATCCAGAGCTCGGCAGCACTGCTTCAAATCGTCGACCGTGAGAAACATCCCATCTTTGACAGCCCCCTTCACCAGGTCCATTTTGGAGGTGACCAGCAAGCAAATTCCATTGCCGTCTAGCTGCAGCGGGGTGCACGCAGGCGGCAAAAGCTCAAACTGCACACGTTGCCAGACACTGCCAGTGAGGCTGTAGTTCAAGAGGAAGTCTGGTTGTCGTTGTTTGTTTGGGTCGAGGCACAGGAAAACCTTATGTGGCTGTGGTGCGTTTCTTGGCTGCGGCTCGGTTTGTCAGTAGCATCTGACTCTAGTCTATCCGTTTAACAACAGGAATAACCACAAACAAAATAAAAATGTGACTGACATGCACCTCGCAACCTGTCCGTCCAGTTCAGTTGCCGTGAGCCGGCACGCAATTGCACCCCACTTGCGCACTCCCAAAGATAGCAGAAACTGATCGGCACGGCTCTGCCAAAAGATCGCACCGCACGTGAAAAACACACCTGGTCAGGCATGACGGCTCGGTTCAAGGGTTAAGGGTTTGTGACTTCAGGTTTTTGCACACCAACCAAATATTTCACTACCTCCGAAAACCTCCCGGGACAAACCTCCAACACCTCTGAGGCCTAACTGCAGACTTTAGACACCCGTGCTTCGCCACGTCATGCCAGCGTTGGCAAAGTCGTTCCTGACGTCCGTGAGAAGGTAGGCCATGGACGCAACGGACTTTTGGTGCGACAGGGGTCCTGCGTTTTTCCATTTCTTCTTCTGCACCTGATCCGGATTCCTTGGAAGCTGTGCGTCACCTGGGTGGTGGGCTGGCAGGGCTGTGTTCTTCGGGTTCAGGCATCCATTGAAGATTTTCCTCATCCGATCGGATTCGGGACCTGCTGCAAACTTGGCCCAATCCTCGTCCGTTGCACGTACCTGGGGGACGCCCCCCGTGGTGGGATACTTGCACGCTTGCGCATACATCCAGACCAATTGCTGAGACGCCTTGGCATTCTTGGTGCTTCTTGCCACTGCATCCCGTAAATGTCCAAACGTGGACTCGATGCAATCCTTCGTAGTCGAGCTGCCTGAGTAGAGCTCGACGGCCACACTCCGCAAGTCCTGGTCGTGGCAATCAAAGTCCGACTTGAGAAGCATCGCTATGACCTCAGCGCTGAAGGCTTGGCGATGCCATGCCAAGTCGTTCAAGATCTCCTGCAAACCCACGTTACCGCTGTGCTTCGGGTCCAGTGCCGTGCGAAGTGTCAGCACCATCTCCTCCAGCAGTAGGATCGCATCCTCCCGCTCGTCTCGGCTCGTGCTTGCAAGGCACGCAATTCCGTGCGGAAGGGTGTACTTGAACATGAGCTGGGACCAAGCGACGTTGCTGGCCAGATAGGTGGAAAACGTATACACTATCTGCAGGAGTTCTTGCTCTTGCTTCACCCAGTCCCTGTCCAAAGGGGCCACTTCTGCACCCAGTCGCGGTGCAACACCCAGCCTCTTGAGCAACGCAGAACTGTGCACCTTCAGCAGAATCTCGCCACAGGTTTGCCACCAAGACCCGGTACCTGTGAGGAATCGTCGCACACAAAGGTTATGTTGTTGAGTTTGGGGATTTTGCAGCAGCCCGACCCAGGCGATCTGATTGGGTTTGAGAAGCAACAAATCAAACGGCAGGGGTTGGAGTTGTAAGGGTTGCCTGCCAAGCACCGACGTACAGCAAATTGCAGTTGATTCTTCTTCTGCTGCTTCAAATCCGCATTGTACATTTTTTCCAGAGGTTTGGAAATCTCCGTGATGCAAATCGCTTCCAGCTGCAATTGTCTGTCGGAGATGAGGTCACAGAACATACGGACGGGGCCTTCCAATAACAGTGGATCGTTTCGAATTTAAGGGTGCGAAAAAACAGCCACAATAACCAAATATAACCAACTTAGATTAACCTTGCAACGCCTCGGCCCGAGTATGCCTGATACAGCTGCGAGCGCGTCAGCTTCGTAGAGCGTGCCGGCTCCTCTTCGGCTGGCTCCGGGGCTGCTTCATCATCACTGTTCACCGTCTCGTCATACCGCTCCTGTTCGTAGGGGCGGGGGGGTTCCTATACCTCGGGTCAAATGTCTGTTCAGACCATGTCTGACTGTGCCTCCACACGCAGCATTGCAGCCCCGGCAACTTCTTGGACTGTCCACTCATCAATGAGCGCTGCAAACGCCTTGTTCATGCCAAACCACATCTTGTTTTTGACCTGAGTCTGAGTCTTATATGACTCAGATGAGGGATGGTAGAGTTTGCGAGGCCCAAACAAACAATATTTGGCACCTACAGACAGCGATCATGTCGGCCAGACAGCAGGCGTTTTTTTTTTGACTGGTGCACACGAAAGCATGCGGAACACTCCCTCAAACATCATTGGGGTCGGACCCAGCAGCCTAGGCCTAGGCTACTCGGTCAAAACAAGCAGTGGCTCTTGCCCCTGGCCCCTGAATTTAGACTCTGTCTGTACGCAACACGGGGAAGCTCCCTGGATCACTCGCGGCTGTGGATCCTCCAAAGGGCACATGAATGAAAGACCAGGCTGATTGGAGAGAACTGACCCACACGGTCCTTCCTCTTCGTCTTCTCTTTCCACAAAGTGCGATGCAGCAGCGGCCTTCGCTGAGCAATCTTCTTAAGGAGTACCAGGGACACAGGGGATAACAGCTTATGAGAACGCTATACATTCTGAAATTCTCAGACTCGACTGACTCTGTGACAAAGGCCTCAAACGCCCGGGCCACTCAGCGCAAACCCCAATTCTCTTGGACACGGACCCAGCATTCCAAACACAAATCAGACTCAAGCCCTGGACATAGACATTTGCCGATCAGATGCACTTCGAAAACTGCAAGCTTGGTCTCAAACCTTAAATCCTGGCCTAGAACACGAACTGACTCAGTAGCGGGAGCACCCTTCAATATCCAGAATCTCAGATCTTGATGAGGACCCACTGCTGCCGAATTGAAATCTGAAACCCTGGATTACAGCCCCAGTATCCGTCTATTCCAGAAGCTCCAACCTTGGACTATTTATTAGTCGACTCCACAGACTATAGGGCTTGCAGACGCCTGGACTATTCTCTCACCCTCCCCAACCCCCACGAACTCAGACCCTGGACTCTTCTGAAAAGATCAACTCCTAAACTGGTCCCATGACGAAGTGAATATCCTCAACTCCCCAAATCACAAACTGACCTGCGACCTCAGCCTCAGATTCTCAGCACAAAATCTAAGAACCCTACCTAAGGCAGACCACCCACTCATCCACAAATCTGAAACCCGGACTATGACTAAGGCCTCAAACTTCCTGGATATTCTCAAACCGGGACCCATACTAAGCACCTTTATACAGCTCAGAGTTCCCTGCCTGCCTGGCTTTGAAAAGTTGAAGTGGATTCCGGGGAATCCTGGACCAGTCAGGTTAGGGTGCCGGCTCAAAATGGACGGAGGGCCCAGCCTGCAGCAGCACGCACCTGCGCTTCTTCCTCGCAGGGGCCGACGGAGGTGTGTCGGGTGGCCCGCGGATCTTGTCAGTCGGAGTGCGGAACTCCTCTTCAGGAACCAAGAACACACAGGATTCAACTCATTACAAATCTTGAAAAGGCGGCACAGACACAAAATCCAAGACTCCCAGGTCCTTTCCAGGAGGCGGGGATGGCATGCAAGGCTTCACGATGACCTGATTAACAGGGCCGACGAAACCGAAACCCGAATCCGCGCAGAACATCCGTCTGAGGCGGGGGCCTTCACTGATGCAGGAGACTTCGGCACTTCCTACACTTTCGAGACCAGCAAGACTTCAGTTACAATCAGCAGTTCTGAGCATGACAACAAAGCACCCTCCGTCCTCTTGCTTGTGGTCGCCCAACTCATCCAACGGGGCACCCTTGCTGCGAGGGGGAGCCTTCTGAGTCTTCACAGGAGACTGCAGAGCAAGAGCTGCCAGCGCTGAGGACAGCCCAGGCGAACTCCGTTCGGATTGGGAATCCTGCGACAATCGTTTCTGTAGGACCCGCCTAACGCTGTTGTGCAGACTGAGAATGACAAACTATACTCGCGGTCCGGACTGCACAGCGGGGTCGCCGGAGTCTTTGCAGCAGCAAAACCCTTTTTCGGAGTTGAGAAACCGGCCGACATGTTTGGCTTGGGAACTACCGAACTAACAAAGCCAGAGCCAGAAACAGACTGAGCCCGGCAATGTACTGCAACCAAATTAATCTGAGACCAGGCACACATGAGATGCATTTCAAGTCCTGGAGCGCCGTTGTTTTTGTTTAATGCCACTGAGTCACAAAGAGACCTCGGCGAGCGATCGCGGGCGAGTCCATCCACTCGCGGAAGCGATCCGGGACTTGCTCCGGGTCGTAGGACTCTCCTCTGTCAAACGCCATCCGCTCTGCGACGTCCGAGAAGAACTCATCGTCCTGAGTTGCCAAGAACTCGCCGACGACTTCCTGGCGAGTGTGGTACCGCTCACCGCTCAAGTATGCTCCATGAGAATGGTTGCATAACACGGTCAGCTTCAGGACGCTGGTTTCCAGCCCTGCGTAGCGCACCGAGCGCTTAAACGAGTTCCACAATGGATGGCAGAGCTCTGGCTCAACCAGGCAGCGCAGGCCTGCCACTTCGGCTAGATAATTCCATGCCTTGGTTTGGCAGCCCTCCTCGTCCTCCACCGCCCGGATCATTCGTCTCTCGGGCTTGGGGGCGACTGTCAAAGTCGCGGGAACCTGCGTGATGTCAGGCGGAGCTGGCACCACGTACTCATCCAGACCGCGGCCGGTCATCACAGTAAGTGTGTGGTGCAGCACTTTCATCACGGCCT